TCTAAAGACCGTTTTATTGTGTGTATTTTTGTTTGTTTTTTTGTAGAGGCTTTAGTAGCCAGAGCAAGAGATATGATAGATTTCTTTTGCATATCTGACAGTGTAACATTAAGCAGAAGTATTTCGAATGAGTTAAACCTGTATCCTGTCTTCTGAGTAACATTGAGATTATCACTATATATTGTTGCAACACCGCCACCACAATCACGATCAGATTTTTTCTAGATCCTGCATTAAATTTATATTTTGACCTCACTATTCGGGGAACAGACACAGTCTTTATAGATTGGACAGCGCAAGTACTTCTATCATTTAAGCGGGTAGAACAAAAGCCATCATAGCAGTTATTTGAGAACTGGCTTACTAGTCATATGGAGCGTAGCGTCCTGGAGGTGTTGTCCGACAGAAGTTCCGCTAATCATGCTAACAACATGCCAGTAAAATGCTAATCATGCTAACAACATGCTAGTAACATGCTAATCATGATAGAAAAATCCTAGTAACATGTTAAACATGCTATAAACATGTTAGCATCATGCTAGTAACATGCTAATCATGCTAGCAACATGTTAATCATGTTAGGAACAAGCTAGCTAAAATGCTAGTAACATGCTAATCATGCTAACAATATGCTAGTAACATGTTAATCATGCTAGAAACAAGCTAGCAAACATGCTAATAACTTTGCTAATCATGCTAGCAACATGCTAATCATGCTAGAAACAAGCTAGCAAACATGCTAATAACTTTGCTAATCATGCTAGCAACATGCTAATCATGCTAGAAACAAGCTAGCAAACATGCTAATAACTTTGCTAATCATGCTAGCAACATGCTAATCATGCTAGAAACATGCTAGTAGCTTGATAATCATGCTAGAAATATGTTAGCAATACGTTAGTAACATGCTAATCATGCTAGCAACATGCTCTTAAAATGCTAGCAAACATGCTATTAACATGCTAATCATGTTATAAACATTGCTAATCATGCTAGCAACATGCTAGTAACATGCTAATCATGCTAACAGCATGTTAACAACATGCTAGTCATGCTAGAAACAGCCTAGCAACCACCCCAGGTACCCTAGCAATATGTTTTATATCTATTTTTCTGATAGACTGTATTGCCTTGAAAACATTCAAACTTTAATCTTTAAAACTATTTTAACTTTCAAACTACTTCAAACTGAAAACTTTCAGACTGCAAGCTTTTAAAACTACTTCAAACCTTCTGGCTAGGCTTTTTCGAGCCAACTTAAAGTTTGTCTATAAACTTTGCTCATCTGGTTTCTATTATTATTTTCAGTTTCAGTCTAGAGGCTTTAATTAATTTATTTATTTATTAAATAAATTAAATTACTATTTTATTTATGTTTAAATATAGAGGCTTATTTGTTTATTTTTCTTTTGTATTATAGAGGCTTTTTATTGTTTATTTAAATTTTATTAAAATGTATATTTTTTTATTTTATTGTTTCATTCTAGAGACTTTATTTTATTTTTGTATTCCAATTCTGCTTTAATCTAGAGACTTTGTTTTATTTATTTAATACATTTTCTATTCTAGTCTTTTTTATTTGTTTTATTCATTTTAATTTATTTTCATCTTTTATTTCTATTCGATTCTAAAGCTTTTTATTTTTCAATTTCTGTTTCATTCTAAAGACCGTTTTATTGTGTGTATTTTTGTTTGTTTTGTTGTAGAGGCTTTATTTTATTTTTCATTTTTGTATTTCTTTATTACTTACTTTTTTTAGATTTGTGTGTTTTATGAGTACATTTAACAAAATATGAGTGATGCTTACTTGTGTAAAAATCACAATGCTGTGATAATGCCAAGGCTCCAGCTAGTCAGCATTATTGTTTTTTTTGCAAGCCACAGATCTTGTAGTGTGCATACTGCAGATTTTCTGCAAGCAAAAGAAAGCAAGGCATTGTGAAGCACGAGCAAAGAAAAATAGACAAAGCATCTCATTTTTCTTATTTGAACTGTTCTGTGCAAATTAGTGTAAAAACAGAAAACTGTGAGTCTGATTATAGTGTTATTAGACTTTAGCCATTTATATGTTTATAAGCAACTGAAAAAAGCACAAATGTCAGGGCATGTCAAAACTTCTCCAGACCCCCAAAACACCCTCAGACCCCAGGAGGTTAAGTATGCGCAGGACAACGACCTTCTGTCCTGTAGCGTGTGACTGGCTTAAGATGTTCTGAATGGGGTTTAGTGTCACTAATGTCATGCCAATAAAGCGCAGTAACACTGAGAGGGATGCTGGAAGAGGAGGAACAGCCTCATGTGTTCAGCGGTCACAGGTGATGCTGCGGTTTCTCCTCCTCTAATTGATTACTAATAGCAGGAAGAGACTAGAGGGATTTACTGAAACACTCACACACACACACACACGTCTCTCCTGCCCCTGGAGACATATCATCTTCGGGAGGAGAGACATGCAGGGATGGTATGTGAGGGAGGAGATGGGAAAAGTGCTTCAGTTTAAAACTTTAAGACCTTTTCAATGTCTTTTCATGAAACAAATAGTTCTGCTTATGAAGACATTGTAAAATGGTAAATTAAAAAAAAAGCATATTTACTGAATTCTGCAATAAGGCACCAAGTACACAGGTCAATAATATATTAATATATAATACTGTTTTTCTTTATTTTATTCTCCTTCATAATAATATTAACAATTATTATTCAGAATGATAATTGTAATATATTATTATACACTAGGGTTCCAGCATCATGTATGTATGTATGTATGTATGTATGGTATGTATGTGGGTCAAAGACGAAAAAGGGTTTAAGCATAAAAACAATGTGTAATACTGCTTTAAATTGTTGTTGTTTTTCCCCCCAATTTTTTTTTAAATGTCTGTTTAATTTTAATTGCAATTTTGTTTTTGTTTTTCTGAGCAAAAAATAAATATCATACATTTTCCCTGATTTACAGAAGAGACCCACTAAAATGTCATTCAGTGTAA